CCACCCTCAGCCCGGTCCCCTATACATACAAAATTGTTCATTCAATTTCACAAGGTTCATGGAGTCATTGAAAACTATCAACTGACTATAGGTTAACAATCCCTGCTATGCAGCTAAGATGTTATCTAGCATGGCAAAAGATGACAATACTGACAAATATAAATAATTAGGACTATGAAACAAGGGGGAGGAAAGCTAACTATAGTCTCTTTTAAAATCTATCTAATAAATATTTTATTAAACCATAATTTATGTATAATAAAATACACAGGTCCTAAGTGTTCTATTGGATGAATACAACCAAACATAGAACATTGCCCTTATCCAATAAAGTTCCCCTCAGTCCTTATATAATCCTAGTCTTCTACCTCCCACTCCAGATACAAAGATTAATCTGATATCATTTCCCATAGATTACTTTTGCCTATTGTTGGACTTCAAATAAATGAAATCATATTTCTATATTTGGCTTCTTTCATTCAACCATTTTTTTTTATATTTTAAAAATATTTATATTGTTATGTGAGTCTTTCTTATTGCTGAGAAGTATTCCATTGCCATTGTCTGTCAGGACTTTATCATACTGTGGTAGTTTGCATGTTGCTATACAGGGTTGCTATGGGTCGGAACCGACTCGACGGCACTTAACAACAACAACAAATAATGCTAGAGCTATGCCACCAGCATTCCAAATACAAGCAGGGTCACCCATAGTGGGCAGATTTCAGCAGAATTTCCAGTCTAAAGCAGATTAAGAAGATAGACTAGGGGATCTACTTCTAAAGATCTAGTTCCACAGATTAGCCAATGAAAATCCTATGGATTACAACAAAAATTGCCCAATATAGTGCTAGAAAATGAGGCCCCTAGGTTAGAAAACATTCAGATACACAGTGGCCACAACAAGGACTCAGACAACAACAGTGAAAGAGGTGGCACAGGATCAGGCAAGGTTTCATTCTGTTGTATATGAGATCGTCATGAGACAGAGTCCACTCAATATTGCTAACAATAACAACATTATTCCAGTGTCTGACGATTCCACCAGTTGTTTATGTATTCTCCCATTGACAGTAATTTGGTTATTCATTTTTTTGTTGTTGTTAATAAGACTGTCCATCAGGCTTGTTCATAAGGCTGCTGTGAACATTCATATGCAAGCCTTTATGTGGACATATGCTTTCCTTTCACTTGGATAGATTCCTAGGAATGCAATTGCTAGATATAAGGTGGATATATGTTTAACTTTTAGGAGTCCTGGTGTGGTGCTGTGGGTTAATGCGCCAGACTGCAAAGCCATTTGAACTACAAGGTCATGGTTGAAGCTCACCAGCTGCTCCTTGGAAACCCTATACAGGGTCACTATGAGTGGGAACCAACTGGACAACACTTAACAACAACAACAACAAATGCTTAACTTTACAAGAAATTGTTGAATGTGAAACTGATGATCTGCACTGTAAACCTTCAATCAATTCACACACAAAAAAGTTTCAAAAATAGAAAATAAAGAATCTCTAACAGAAAGGATTTACAATAGGATAGGCACTGGACTGCTAACCACAAGGATAGTGGTTCAAACCACTAACCACTTCTTGAAAACGCTATATAGTCTATGAATCAGCACTTAAAAACAACGTAACAGGGAGAGGACTTCTGGCACTTCCCTGACCAGGCAGCTTAGGTAGGGCAGTCTTAGGGAAAAGGGGCGGAATCGCACATAAGAAACCTCTGTCTACCAGACAGACAGCATCTGAACAAACATAAGATCTTATATTTCAACAAGCTGAACTCGTTTTTTTAAAAGATCAAATTGCTGAGGAATTACAGGCATTTAGAGCTTTTGTCTGCCTGCATGCGGCTCCCGCTTCCATGCCCGGACTGGCCAGTGCCTCTGCCCCCTGCAGACCTTGGAATGCAAGGCTAGAGCAACCCCACTTAGAAGGCTGCATTTCCAGAAAAAAGGAAGCATGAACTAACAAAGCCAAAAAAATAAAGAGGGATATCGGCACAGATATCAGGAAATTCGGGATACCCATGGTACAGAGAGACTGAGAGAGGCATTTTTTGAGTCATCAAATACAGAGACTACCTCCCTGCAGGCAAGACACCCAGCCCTCTACTGCCCCGGCCTAGACCAGCCCTCTGCCAAGCCGCTGAGGCTCAGGAATACCCAAGGCACAGGCCCGCCCACTGAGGCCAAGGCCCTCCCAAGGCCCAGATACTCCCACTGAGGCCAAGGCCTGCCCTGAGGCCCAACCCACCCACAGATTGGTCACAAAGGCCCAGGCCCAACCAAGGCCCAAATCGCATACACAACTCACGGCCCAGGCAGTCCGCAGCCTGGCCGTCGCCAAGGTCCAGGGCCCCCAAGGCCCAACCTGCCGCGTAGCCAGGTCGCTGAGGCCCAGGGCCCTGGTGGCCCAACCTGCCGTGCAGCCCAGTCACCAAGGCCCAGTGCCCCTGAGACCCAACCCACCCTCAGCCCGGTCCCCGAGGCACAGGCCCCCAAGGCCCAATCTGTCCAACCTGCCCTCTGAGGCTCAAGCCACCCGATGCCCAGCTGCTAATAATCAGGCCCCCAGAGGCTCAAACCGCCCGCCCGAGGCCCAAACCACCAGCCCGAGGCCCAACCCTCCTGGAGCCTGGTTGCTGAGTCCCAGGCCCCTAGAGGCTCAAATTGCCCGCCCTAGGCTCAACCTACCTGCCCAAGGCCCAAACGGCCCGCCGCCGAAGCCCAGGCCCAACTGAGGCCCAAAAAAGTTACTCTGAGTTAAGCAATAAGGAGAGTGAAAAGGAAAGACCACATCCTGATCACATCTTCCTGGAGGTAATCAGAAAACATAAAAAATTACCAAAACACATACTTAATTAATTATTAGGGCCACAGATAAACATTAAACATGTCCAA